CAGGGCCGCAGATCCCCACGTCCGCACGTCCGCACGTCCGCACGTCCGCGGCCCCGCCCCCGGGGAGCTCCGCAGCTGGTCTGCGCGGTTCCCTGAGCTCCGGGTCTGAGCGGTCTTTAAGTGCGCGCACCCCGCGTCTCCCAGTCAGTGGGTTGGCGGTGACTAGGCGCGGGTGCTCGACTGCCTTTCCTGCTGCTGGAGACTTTGGAAGGAATCAGAAAGATCCCTCCCCACCCCCATACCAGATCAGTGACGTGCCCCAGGCCAAGGGCCCGCACATTGGATGGGCCGAAGTATGGGGAGCTGAGGATGGGCGTGAGGGAGAGGGAGAGAGATACCGAAACAAGATCGGCTGCCTCCTGCACACCCCTAACGGGGTAGGGCCTGCAACCTGGGCATGTGCCCTGACTGGGAATGATCTGGGGACCTCAGGGTGCATGGGACGGTGCTCAACCAACGGAGCCACACCGACCAGGGCTGAGGACGGGTTCTTGATTGGCAGAGGGCATCAGACCCCCACCCCCCAACTCCAGTTTTCTCCATTTCAGGGACTGAAGAGCTGACTTTCTAGGAGTTTCACTTCCTAGAGATAACAAGATTCCAGAAGCCACCCTCGACCCTTCATTCCAAATCTTAATATTAGTAACTTCTGGTTCCTGTGAGAGTCTGTCACATGGTTTAAGGAAATGTGAAATACTCACCTGGCCCTGGTGTCCACGTCTAATTGCACACGAACGTCACTCTGCACTCATTGGGCCTCAGTTTCATCATCTAAAATGTGGCCATAGATTTTTAAGGATGCCTTCAGATCGAATCAAAGAGCTAGGCCGTCCCAGTCCAGCCTTATGCCCAGATTTTGGGGCTGGGAAGCCTGACTAAAGACTCCCCTCCCGACTCCCCCAGACTATAAACGTTTTGTCGTGAGTGCACCTAATGGCGGATTTCAGAAAGTAGAGTCCCGGGGAGACGCTGGGAGTAGGGGGGCCCCTGGGAGGAACATCCAAGCCACCGTGGAGGGGAAGGCTGACGGTGGCTTCCCTGCCTGCCTCCTGCAGAGGAGGGGAGAGGGCCGGAGTTGCAGGGAAGGTGACTCTCCACAAGTCCGCTGAGCTCTAGGCCTGGAGGTCCTGCTGGCCGGGCTGAGGGGGGGGCTGGATGAGCAAGAATCCGGGCGGTCCGGGGCTGTGCCGGCTCTGCCCCGAGGGACCTCCCGCAGAGGGGCGGAGCCAACCCCAGCTGTGACCTTTCCCCTACATGCTGGGCTCCCAGTCATCCGACGGGGTGGGGAGGCCGGGAAAGGGGAAAGTTAGGGTGAGAAACGTGTTGGCAGGCAGGCACTTTGAAATTCATTTCTCTACTCAGCCCGCAGGAATTTTTAGTGCTTCATTACACGAGAATTTCGTCTGGTTTTGTGTTGGACCCAGTGACTCTTTTTTCACACTGTTATTAGGAGAGGCTCTAGCTCTGAAATCACTTCCAGGTGTCCCAAATGCCACCCCTTGCTTAGCTGGGGGACTTGGGCGAACCTTTAACCTTTCTGTACTTTGGTATCCTCAACTGATATATGGGCTAATGAGTCTTCACCTGGAAATTAAATGAGTTAATCCATACAAAGCACTGAGGACCTTGCCTGACACATAGAAAACATTCCNAGTCTTCACCTGGAAATTAAATGAGTTAATCCATATAAAGCACTGAGAACCTTGCCTGACACATAGAAAACATTCCATAATGGTCATTATCCGTATCATCGACTACAAAACTCCCAGTGAGGGACTCTGCTTGTAGTATAGCCTTTGGTCAGTGAGTGAACACAGGAATTCCATAATAACACTTGGGGCTCTGCTTATTATAGGGGGGCTGTAGGGGAACTCACTTTAGAGATTTACTATGGCTCCAGCAGTGAGGGTGTCTGGGAAATGTTGGACTCTGTTTGATTTTGACTGTTTAACTCTCTATAGCCTCAGGTTTGACTGACTATCCAGAAAGTCACAGTGCTGCCCAAAGATAAACATCAGGCCCCAGGAAGGAGGTTAATGAATGTATAGTGTGGATAACTACTTGATGTTATCTGTCAACTTAGAAATGCATTGTTCTTTCTGGTAGTCTACATGACTACCCACCATTTGATTTTAATATTAATCCCCTATTAAAAAGAGATCCTGTCCTGGGAGGGGGTGGATCTCTTCTCTGCCTGCCACAGCTGGAAGCAAGCAGCTGCTTTGCCTGTGCATGTAAATTTCTCCTATTAAAGCTCTTATGAATTTGAATAAAGCTATGTGCCAGTTCTTCTGAATTGATTCTGAATTTAGACTCTTGGAGCTTTTCCCCTGATATAGGAAGTAAGAAGCTAGGAAAATCCCAGGACCAGAGGAATAAGAAAACTAAGACAGATCGTTTTTAAAATAGCAGTTTTCAGCCACCTAGTAAATCCTACCTTCCCTAAACCAAGGACACTTAAGAATATGTGGCTTGCACTTCTCCCCAACCAGAGGGTAAATAGCTTAAAACACCCTACTTCGGGAAACAGATAACAAACAGGTATCTAATTAGTGCCATTTGCCAACCACACCCAAGGACAAACAAATTAAGAGAATAAATCTCTTTTTAAAAAATATTTATCTTTATTGTTGAAAGTATTACAGATGTCCTCCCCCACCCAGGTCTGTGTCCATGAGTTATGCATATATGCATATAAGTTCTTTGGTTAATCTCTTCCCACCCATCCACCCCTGCCTTCCCTCTGAGATTTGTCGGTCTGTTCCATGCTTCTCTGTCTCTGGATCTATTTTGTTCATCAGTTTATTTTGTTCTTTAGATTCCACATATTAGTGAGATCATGTGATACTTGTTTTTCTCTGACTGGTTTATTTTGCTTACCATAATAATAGGTCCCTTCATGCTGTCTCAAAGGGTAAGAGATCCTGTTTTATAGCTGCATAGTGTTCCATGGTGTGAATGTCCCACAACTTTTTTATCCACTCATCTACTGATGGGCACTTGGCTGTTTCTAGATCTTAGCTACAGTAAATTGCACTGCTATGAACATAGGGGTGCATATTTCCTTTCTGGTTGGTGTTTTGGGTTTCTTAGGATATATTACTAGAAGTGGGATCACTGGGTCAAATGGAAGTTCCATATAAATCTCATTTTGTTACATCAGAATAAAGCTGATGAATATTCTATTGAACCTCCCCTAAGACCTCCCCTAAGTGCCCAGCCTTTAAAACCCCTGAAAACCAAAGTCCCAGTAGGCTCTCCCTCCAGGGAGCATGCCCCTGCCATTCCCTTCCCTCTCTCCTCCCACAGGCACATATCTCCTAAACTCCAAGAGACGCCACGAGACTTACAACCAGGGGAGCAATGGGCAGCAGCTGCTCATCCCCGGCTAAACCCCTGAACCTGTCCCCAAGGCCCCCTTTTCTCTGACTTCCCAGTGAGCCAGAGCGGCCCAGCCCAGGCTCTCCTGCTGCCCTTCTTTGTTTCACTGTCCTAAGTGTGTTTTTACTGCTGTCAATAAATTCTGGCTTGCTTTTCTACATTCTCTCTGTCTCTCTCTCTCTCTTTAATCCTCACCCGAGGATATTTTTTCCATTGCTCCTCAGAGAGTGGAAGGGGGAGAGAGAGAAACATCCATGTAAGACAGACACATCTGTTGGTTGCCTCCTGCACATGCCCCGACCAGGGCCAGGGTCAAGCCTGCAACAGAGGTATGTGCCCTTGGCCGGAATTGAACCTGAGACCCCCTCAGCCTGTTTGCCGATGCCCTAACCACTGAGCAAAACCAGCTAGGTCTACATTTTGTCTCTTGATTGAAATGTTTCCTTCAAGAAGACAAGAACTGAGATCTTGCTGGTAATACCCCAACGTGAGCTCTACATTTTTATGTTCACACAGCTCAAAGGAAGAGATGGACGCCTCTCCAACAATTCCCTGTCCCCTGCATTCACTGCCATTGTCTAAAGGTCATTCCAGATGAAGACAACCAGCCTTTGGGAGGTTATAGCCCTGTGCTTTCCCATCTACTGACTATAAATATTATTGACTATCATCTCTGGTTAGGTTACTAGGCTTGAGACAGGCTAGTAAGCCAGGAGAAGCGGAATAGGAAACCTGTCTCCAAGGCTCCCTTTTCTCTGACTTCTTAGTAAGTTAAAGCAGCCCAGCATAGGCTTATTTTACCACCGAGCCCCTCCCCTACTATCCTAGGCCCTTCCTTGTTTCACTGTCCCCAGCTTTAATAAATGTCCTCTAAAATTCACCTGGACTCCTGTTGTGAAATTTTTCCTACAGGAAGTCAAGAACCCACACATTACTGGCTGTCCATAGGCAGATCTGCTAAGGGCCAGGGACCCTTTCCAGTAACAGGCTTACCTATATTAGATTCTTGTCCCGTCTCCACCTTGGCCAAGTTAATTAATCCCTTGGAGCCTAAATTACCTAATGTATAAAATGGGGGAAAAATGTATAAAACAGAGTTGTTGTAAGGATTAGAAATAATGCATGTGAAATATGTGTTACATAGTAGATGCTCAATAAATAGGTGGTATTGTTTTACTAACATCAACGTAATGTTACAAGATAGTAAGAAGCTAGGAAAAATTCTAGGCAGGAGGAATAGGGAAACTGAGACAAGAAAATTAAACAAAGCCAAAAAGGTTAGGCAGCTAGTAGCCAGTTTATAGCAAAACCTTATCTTAAGAACAAATGTCTAATACCTCTCCTCACTAACCAAAGAATGCAGGAAAGGAGGGGAAGTTTTAATGCCTCTTCTCCCTAACCAGAGAGTACATAGTATAAATCACCCTGGAAGGGGGAAGGAAAGAAGAGAGAGATTTATCTCACCCACTGAACAAAGAAGTCAGCCGTTTTGGGGAAGGAGGAGAGAAGGGGTTTTCTTGTCACTGTTTAAATAGAGA